AACAACCACAACCCACAATGATCTCTCACATTGCAGATAGTCAATAAAAGGACCACCTCCTATCCTCTCAATTATCTAGTTTTCCATCCATCTATCATCTTCTGTAGCTCGTTAATACGCCGCGCACAGCAGTCCTCAGCACTGCCTAGCATCGCTAGTGCCACAGTGCGACACTTACCCGAACCCAAACATCAGCCAGTACAAGCCAACACAACTCAGTGTTGGCGAACCAGCCCTGAAGCCAGCCAACACTGGCTAACATAACTTGATGAAAGCCAGCATAATCTAGTATTGGTGAACCTTGCCCCGAACCCCAATTAGGAAAGGGGGACAAGCCCTCCCCACTTTCCTTATATATTTAAGCACGTGTACTCTTCAGATATTCTCTCTTTCACGCAACGTCTTGACTCCGGTACTACACCTGTACCACACAAACTAGTAGATAGCCGACAATCTCATTATTTCACCTCACGTGATAACTTGAGCAGATCCCATCTATCGGTTTCGTGACACTACGTTGCGTCAACCACCCTCACCAGCCATAACGATGGAACTGGAGACGATCATCCGCACCATGCAGGAACAAATGACTGCATAAATCCACGTCCTGCAAGAAGCTCTCTCGCAACAGAATCAAGCAGTACACGCCCTAAGCGAAGAGATAGCCGCTCTTAAGTCAGCTCCTGGCTCCCCCCCTAAAGTCACCCTCACCACTCCCTACACCAGTGACCGACAATAAACGGACACACCCACTGAGTCTATGGATAGCTCCAGGCCTGCCCTGCAGAAGGAGCTCCTGGTTACCCGAGCCCAGTTGTTAGAAAGACTCCCAGACATCGCTGAATTTACAGGCAAACGCAGTCAGCTAGCTAAGTAGAAGGCCGCCCTGATAAACAAACTCTCAGGTAACTCCGACCGCTACCCTAGCGAATCAGCCAAGCTGGCCTATACACGATCCTGTATTGCGGGGGAACCAGCCATCACACTGGGCCGCCTGGGCCTTGATTTCCCAACTCTGCAATCACTGATCGCCTGGCTTGACAGATAATATGGAGACCCAAATGAGCGAGTTAATGCTAAACTGAAGCTTCACGACCTACGTCAAGGGAGCCGTCCCTTTTGGAAATTTTTCATGGAATTCAGGACTTTAGCTAGTAAGGCAGGGGCCTCCGAAGGAGCTTAATACATGCTCCTAAAGGGCGCTATCAGCCTGGAATTGCAGCGCCTGATGATCACCCAACCTGAACCAGAACATTTAACAGATTATGTAAATCTGGTAGCTAAGATTGATGAGCAGCTACATTTCATCAACAACAATTTCCGTCCATCCTCTAAATAACCGACCCAGCCCCGCCAACACCCAGACGCAATGGACATTGATATTCTAGGCTATGCCCCAGCAGGTTCGGCTGAACGAGAGCGTCGCCGCCAAAAAGGGCTATGCTATAAGTGCGGCTCTGACAAACATATTTCGCCTAATTGCAAGGTTCCCCTCCCGAGTCGCTCTGAGAGTCCTAAGCGCTCTAGGAGCATCAATGCCGTTTCCCCACGTACCCATTCGCCAGCCCGCCATGACAGCCCCCGCCGTGCCCACGATTTTCGACTTAATTCCCAGTCCAACTCTGTCTCATCTAGAGGATCTGATCGGTCAAAAGGACAGTCCCAGAACTAAGTCGCGTTTTGGGACCACGCCCTATATTGCTGTTTATGAACCTCACTAAACTAAACTCCTTAAAGGATTGGAAACACTGAATCACTATTTCAGGAACACTTAAGCAGGGTGCCACCCAGGTGACCGCCCACAGTATAGTGGACTCAGGTACTATAGGAAAGGGGTTTATGAGCAGCGACTTCGCGCACAGATATGGCCTGAGATGAATGAGATTGAAACGGTATATCGACCTGAATGCTTTTAATAGATCCTGAACTGTTTCTGCAAGGGTCACCCACTCTATAACCCTCCAGATGACTATTGATAACCACTGTGAAGTGATCACTTTCTTCTTAATAACTCTGGGTAAACATGACTTCATCCTAGGCCAGCCCTGGAACTATGAGCACTATGTATAAATGGACTACAAACACAACAAGTTACGATTTACAGCCCTGATATGCCGCGACCACTTCATGGCCAAATAACGACCTGAACAACCTGAACCCAATAGCCCCCAAACTATTGCTGAGAGGGCCCTGGCGAACGCTCTGCCGTACCGCCCTAACATCCCCTCCCAATGGTATGACTAGAAACATGAATTACAAGCAATGCAGTTTATTGCACAAGCACCTGACCCACCAGACGAGCTCCCCGTCGTAGACAATCTAGGCTCAGAAGAGAGTCCACCCTCTAATATCACGATAGACATCTGCGCAATTAATGCAGCCCCTTTCTATCAACTCTTAAGGAAGCGCAACATTGAAATCTTTGCAGTCTCACTAGCCGATGTCGAAAAGGCACTTGCAGACAAGAAACACACTGACCCGAAGACAAAACTGCCTCTTGACTATTAGGACTTCTTAGACTTGTTCTCCTGAAAAAAGGCAGATGAGCTCCTAGAACATCATCTGTACGATCATCGAATTAAGTTGCTCCCTAGATCAAAGCCGACTTATAGACCATTATACGCAATGTCGTACTATGAGCTACTGGCTCTGCGCAAATACTTGACTGAGAACTTTGCTAAAGGGTTCATCCGACCCAGCTCATCGCCTATGTCCTCCCCGGTGATCTTCGTGAAGAAGCCAGGAGGAGGCCTCCGATTCTGTGTTGATTACTGAAGACTTAATGAAATCATGATTAAGAACCGCTACCCGATCCCTTTAATCTAAGAGATATTAAACCACCTTAGCAAAGCAAAATACTTTACCAAGCTGGATATTATCTCAGCCTTCAACCGAATCCGAATTGCTCCTGGCCATGAGTACTTAACAGCCTTCCATGCTCGTGAAGGCCTCTTTGAATACCTGGTAATACCCTTTGGTCTGGCTAACGCCCCTAGCACGTTCCAACACTATATGAATAATGTCCTACACCCTTTCCTAGACAGTTTCTGTATGGCGTATATTGATGACATCCTTATATATAGCAACAGTTTGAAGGAACATAAGGAACATATACGACAGGTGCTAAAGGCACTGGAGGCTGCCGGCCTCCAGCTCAATATTGACAAATGCGAGTTCCATCAACAGGAAGTGAAATACCTTGGCTTGATCCTGACCACCAATGGCATCAAAATGGACCCAGAGAAGGTCTCCGCAATTCTGAACTGGGAGGCACCCCGAAATATTAAGGATGTTCACGGGTTCTTAGGCTTTGCGAACTTTTATCGCCGCTTCATGAACGATTTCTCAACGCTGGCTGCCCCCCTTACCCAGCTCACTCGAAAGGACGCCCCCTTTCTCTGGACATCCGCCTGCCAGTTCCGTCGTCATGGCTGGTGAGGGTGGTTGACGCAACGTAGTGTCACGAAACCGATAGATGGGATCTGCTCAAGTTATCACGTGAGGTGAAATAATGAGATTGTCACCTATCTACTAGTTCATGTGGTATAGGTGTAGTACCGGAATCAAGATGTTGCGTGAAAGAGAGAATATCTGAAGAATATGCGTGCTTAAATATATGAGGAAAGTGGGGAGGGCTTGTCCACCTTTCCTAATTGGGGTTCGGGGCAAGGTTCACCAATACTAGATTATACTGGCTTTCATCAAGTTATATTAGCCAGTGTTGGCTGGCTTTAGGGCTGGTTCGCCAACACTGAGTTGTGTTGGCTTGTACTGGCTGATGTTTGGGTTCGGGTAAGGCAACAGAATGGTGCCTATCACGTGTCATGGGGTGACCCCGTGACAGCGTGGAACTTTCATTTTGGAGACAAAGATGCCTTCTACGCTGAAAGATTTGCACAAGTTCAGGCTCGAAGATCACTGCCTATAGTATAAAGTATACCAGTATTGCGGTCTAAGCGCACTGCAGCATATAAAGCATCAGACGCGTGGTTATCGCTTAGCCCAAATAAAAGACAACGCCGTAGATAGATATACATAAACACCTTTATTAACTATATAAGTTTGTTATCTCTTGAATAATTGATAAAATAGGTGGCACTGCACTAAGCCGTTTATAGTGATTTAAATTACATTACAGCTAGCGGGGGACAAATCTCAAAGGGGGGACAAATCCCAGAATCGGGGGGACAAATCTCAGCAGCCCACTACTTGAAATAGCGGGGTCATAGCGTGCTGAATAGCTTATGAAGTTGGCGGCGGAGCCTTAATGGCTGTTTGCACGAGATCCATGCTCATCACAGATAAGGATGCGCGGCTTAGAGTGGTCAGTAGGTGTTGTTTGAGGGATGAAGATGCGAGTAAGCCAATCAACACCATGCTGATTGCTTGTCCAGCCGTTTTTCGAGTGGGTATAGAACCTTAAACCTGGTTCATCGTTTACTTGAACTGACCATCACCCTTGCATTAGTTGAGGCACCTATTGCTGTGCCTGTCTCATCAAAATTCCATATATTGTCGGCGTCTACTTTGTAGGTAGTCTTGACGCGTTCAAGCTCGGTATAGAAGCGTTCGAGGGCCTCTGGTGTTGCATAGTCATACCTAGCCTTTTCAATTCGACGGCCTATCATTGTCTTGACTGATGAATTGCGCTTCTTGAAGCCCTGCAGCCAGTTTTTGCCCAGTGGTGTTGTATCACCATGGGCTCGTAGGATGCACTCAGCCATTGCAATGATCGCTAGTTTGAGCATCGAAGACATTATCTTGATAAGTAAAAAGTATGTATTAATCATAATAATCGAGTAATCGCGTAAAATTCACATAGGTGATTAAATACGCGTGTTGATCAAAAGGTGGGTTGATCAAAAACCTCGTGCTTTGACTTACACCCTGGGTCAGTAATAAATTTATTTGGCTAAAGAATTCAAACTCTGTGGCATTGTCCTTTGCGGCCACGGTCCAGTCAGAAATAGGTTGGAACAGCTGGACAATAAAAACTCATCATGATGTTCCTGCTGATGATCTCGCTGCTGACTTGCGTCCCGACATTGGCAGCAATCAGGAATTCCGCGTGAGTAACTCCCAAAAACGATCAGCAGGCAAACCGGCAGACAGTGGATAATAATACAAGTTGGTTTCTAAGATAGAGGAACAGCTATATAATAGGGTCTGGTGAACTGAGACTTTATATGTTCACGAACAAGAGAGCGACAGTGCTTTTAATTTTAAGTGGTCCGTTGCATGAGGCGGCCCGCTGCACCGGGACAGACGTTACAACTTAACATCTATCCTGGTGCAAAGGGCCACCCGGCGCGATGGGCCACATCCCCAGGTACTTTGTCTTGCAAGTAGTCATACAGTCGGATTTGTGCCTATACTGCCCCTTTCCCTACCGAATAATATGATTTGGCTGCCCAGCAGTACCACCACACCTCTAGACATAAATATTACATCCACGTTGCCGCCCCCTAACCTAGTCCATAAATAGCTCATTTTTCACTTGATTATTGACTTCGACTGTTAGTATTCTATTATAGAATTTCCGTTCGCTATAATGACTACACATAATGATAGGCCAACTATAGAGCTTTACTAATTAGTTGAGAAACTCTGACTAGCCTCATGGCAACTGACTTGGGTTCTGCAATAATGGCAGGGGTTTATTTTATGGTGACATGACGATCCCGGAGCTGTGTGGTGCGATAGCTCTAAGCTTAATCAATTTATCGTAGCCTAGAAAAAAAAAGACAAATACTTAACCGAAAAGTTCTCGCTCCTCCTAGATTATCTTCACTGTACAGTTGAGTAGCAGCGGCGGTGTGGCCAAAGGAAGGGGAGTCAAAAAGAGCCTATATGGGGCCTGAGACCACGTCGACAGTTTACGCCACAGAACTACAGGGCATCAACCTCGCCCTCGAGATGGTGAAGAACATGGGCAGTAGATCAACCCGCTACAAGCAGGTGTATATATTTACAGATAACCAGGCCGCGATACGCACCATAATACAACCTAAGGGCTGCTCTAGGGTGTTACGAAGTAACATAAGTCACGTGGGAAGAAGCTGATCAGTCTGATCATGAATGATCACCATGATCAGTCTGCATTAGCGGGAAATTGCTATTGGCTCTAACAGAATGAACGAATCAGATGCATGATATGCGATCAGTCTGATCATGAATGATCAGAATGATCGCCTGCCTCTCACTTCTATAAAAAAGGAAGGATTTCTCTTCTTACCCAAGAACTGTAGTTTAACTGTCTAGTACACCTAGTAGTTAGTCTGAACATTCTCTCATACTTGAAGCTCATACTACTCTAAGTCATAAAACTTGGACTAACTTATTTCTCTTCCTTTCTGAATAAGTCTTAGTTCCACATTGTTCCCTTTTGCTCTAGGAAGCCAACCCCTTCCGAAGTGGCTTACATTAGTGAAGCTAGTCGGTATTGGGACAGTGTTCCTAACATAGGGTATATATCACTAAGCAGATCGCACGGCAGGTCTGGCAGCTATAAGAGGATAGGCTTGCCATCACCATCTATTAGATACCGGCTTATAAGGGTATAGATGGTAACGAAGAGGCTGACCTGGCCGCTAGGACAGCTATAGGATAGGTAGAGAAAGGCATGGAGGGCTGTAGGGCCCCTATACCCTCCCGCCTGCACCCACTACGAACCACGCTCAAGACGTGGGCCAGCAAAAACGCCCACACCAGCTGGACCAGAAGCTGGCAGCAGGAGAAGAAGGGCAGAGCCACATTCAGACATACGCCGCTTCCAAACAAGAAGGTGTTACGGTTACATACAGGCCTAACCAAGGCAGAGAGCGCCTCGCTCGTACAAATGAGAACCGAGAAAATAGGGCTCAGAGACTTCCTCTTCTTCCGACGCGTACCAGGATTCGAGGACCCAGGGTGCCCCTGTGGAGGAGGCCGACAAACAGTCGGCCACGTGCTCCTGCGATACCAACTGCTCCAGGACAAACAACAGATTGAATTCGGGAATCTACCAGGCAGAGAGGACCTACAGAAGGTCTTCTCAACGCGCAAGCTAGCCATGAAAGCAATCGCACTTATAGAACAGGTGAGGGCCCTAGGGCAGAGGGCGCCGAGCGAGTAGATTGGCAGAGTATTAGGTGGAGACTGAAGGTAGTACAGATAGTGAAACACGGGGTGTGCCCTACTGAGCTTATACACAGTGGAATTATTAGTAGTAGAGCCAGTATTAATAAATGGTGACAGCCATTTGAAGGTCAAGGTAGATGGCAAGAGGGTGGGTGAAAGAGGAGACTGGCCACGTTTGTTTACTCTCTGAGTCTACATGCATAGCTGCAGATAATTAGCGGCCAAAATCGAGTAGGATTTAATCAAGCCTGCATATCCTAACTAGGATGGGTCAGGGCAAATGAAAAATCAAATCAAATCAAATCAAATCAAATCAATCTCATGCAAGAGTCTCATCGGAGACAAATGAGACTGAACACATGATATGGAAAACAGGTCTATAAAAGAAGGGCTTATCCCTTCACTACGCTCATTGCAGTCCAATTGTCTAGTATACATTATTTGTTAGTTTATGCTATTCCATTCTATTGAAGCAATCCTATCCTAAGCTATAAAACTCATACTTAGTCTTTCAGTCCTTCTCCTTCTGACAAGATCCAAAGCATACCCTCTGTCCTATACTCTAGGAGGCTCACCCCTTCCAAAGTAGCTTACGTTAGCAAGCTTGCCGGATTGGGAAAGCATTCCTAACAACGGCCCACTCGCTTATCCTTGGCGGTATAGTTGAGTAAGATCACGACGATTCTCGGGTGTATATTGCTGATTGTCCGTCGGTAGTGGGAGAGGTGGTGTGATTGGCCTTGTGATTTTTGATAGAACTTGTGAAAATGCCTCCGATCAAGCCATTTTCAAATACGCAAGAAACTCAACTTTGTTAAGTTCTATATGGTCAATGCCGAGCCTCATCAAGTTTTGCCACCTTATTACTATATGCCCTCATTAAGACTGGAAAACAGTCTACAACAAGAGATTGTAATTATTGGGCTGAATTTGGAAGCATACATAATGTAATGTTAGGGTGTTCTTTACAGTAGTGATCAAATTTAGATGTTATATGAGATTCATGTCCATCAAGGATGAGGAAGCGGTATTCGCCCACTGTCCATGGGCTGCGTATATGGCCCAGATATAAAAGTGAGCCATCAAAGTTCAATCTCACTTGATGTCATCCCTTTGGGCTAGCTGGTCGAGAATCAACATGCCCCATGCGACCATGGATGCGATCGCGGAAGGTCCTTTCAGGCACTTTATAAAGCCATGTATCGGCTCCAATTGATAGGTTTGATTTAGAATTGATTGATTGAATTCCCAATGAAATTTTTGTTCATTATTAACTGTATTAAACATCTCGTTGTGATGTTAATCAACTGCGCCACTGCCTCGCGCCGTGCACGCCGTGCTTCGTTAACTTCACTTATCTATATATCTCATTCTTAAGCATAGCGTCACTATGTTCCTATGCTCAACCAGCTGTCACTAGCCACTAGCTATTGAACTGTCTTAATATTGAAAATACTCTCCTTCCATTTCCCTCCGGTGTAATGTCTAGTCAGTATTGATCAGGGTACAGCCCTCGCCAAATGCCGTTCAAATACTACCGTCCTGACATCAAACCTCTAAAACTGGCTATCTCCGGAGATGGAAGGCCGGTTAAGAGATTCGCGCACGTTGGTGTTGAACTGGTCAAGAAGATTGCCTAGGCCTTCATTAGCAAAACCAAAATATGCGAGATCCACATACCAGCTGGCTTATAATTACAAACTGTGAAGTACGGGGGCACGAAACTACCAGTGTTTGCAAGGCCACTTGCACTGCAGTCTACCGTAGCACACCCGACATAATTCGAACTGGCCCAGACAAGTTGAGTAAAATGGCCCCAGCTGTTGAAGGCGGCTTCGTCGTCTATACTGCTTGGAGTGGCTTCGCCATAAAGACCTTCGAAGTTTGACACTTCATTGTTGTAAAATATGTCAGTAATCACGGAACCGATCTCACTGCTTTGGGTTCCAGCAGCTATGTTCTGGCCATAACCTCCACCATCGATGCTTCTGCGCAACATTAAGCAAATGGATTCCCAAGAGTGCCGGAAACCTACGTATCATGGGCATACGTGCAAGACTCTGCAATCTTCTGAGCAGTTGCGGCGAGCCCATCGTCCCAGGCGATCTCCGGAGCCGAATGATTGGTTCGGTGCGCGTTGTGATGTGCGACCACCGTGGCAGAATAGCCTGTCGGGGGCGCGCTGGCAGGGGAAGATGAGGAAACAGCTGTATGAAAGGCAGCACTAGTAGTCTCATACAATTGGGTGAAAGATGAAATAGGCTGAATACTTGTTGCCGGGGATTGCGCGCCCGGGAAACTGGGGTAGATTCCGTGAAATTCAATCGAACCCGCAGATATCTTCCCCCAGTGTTGAGGAAAGGCGCATGCCGCAGCTAATATGCCAAAAAAAATCATGGTAAGCATATCGAATTACACATGGAGAGTTCTCGTCCCACTCCAGCCAAATATTTGTTCCTGAACGACGTGGGCAACTGGTAAATTTCTCGACAGATATTGTTGCTCAGGTGATCCGCCTTAGTATTTCTCCGTCTAAAATTAGTATAGCCACATTCATACGTGAAATGTAGAGACAATGAAGACGGAGCAAGGAGTTGAATTAACCAAATCTACCAATTTTAGAATTACTACAAGAGATGAATAGCTAGTTTGGGTTAATAGACCGCCTTTTCGAAACTGCCGCTATACAGGTCGTTTTAGCTACCATGTAGAAAAGTCATGATCCTCTGAACCTCGCTTTGCACCTTCTGGATCTTCTGGACATCCTTTTGCATGTCCTGAAGCCTCTGGAGTGGCTCACTCAGTGTCTGAAGTACGTCGGTTAGTTCTTGATGAATATCCCTAATTTGTCTCCAGAGCCTCTGTTTTGCATTAATCTAAATTCTTTCAGGTATGGTGAAGATGGGGAACAGATGTTCTTACGGTAAAATTTTGGGTACTGCTAACGACTTCATTGACCAGCCCAGCCTGGAAGAGAATAAGAGTGTTATCCGAAGTAAAAGGTTTGGGAGACTGTAGATTCTATCAGAGAGAGTTAACATTTGCAAAATTATGACCAACCTACAGGCTGGTCCCCAGGATTGGGATTGGAGACCTCTTCAATCGGGCTGGACAGTCTTATCCGCTTCGTGCTTTCCTCCTCGTTAGACAAAGGCGAAAGAGCCTCCTCAGGTGGCTGAGGTGTTGGCTTCTTAGCTGGTCGCCCGCGGCGCTTTCGCGTTGACGACTGGGTACCGTTCACACCCTCAGTTCCGTTCTCGTGCCCAATCGGTGGATAGCTCGATTGATCAACCGAATTCCATTTCCCGGGTTCTTGACGGAGTGGGAGTGTCTGCTGGAGAGCCTCAAGGCTTCGAATTGGACTCTCACGGGCCAACTCAAGCAGCTCGGCCGGTGTGATTGTGTCGTGCGCCATTGCAGAGAACTGGCTCTGTACTGATCAAAGTATATATCAAAAGTCCTATATTGAGCCAAATTGACTCCCTTAAACAATCTCGTACATCCATTATTGAGTCCGTCTACCAGGGCCTGTGCGGAGATAGTGGACTCGGCCATATGGAGCCATAGTTCCGGAATAGATTTCGATAGCAGTTTCCGAGGTCAGCAAGGTTGGTTGACTCTCGTTCCTTGATGGAAAGTTGTGTTTGAAAAGTCTTTGGTAGGGTCATGCCACACTACAGGACATGAAAATGCAAAAGTACTTGGCCTGATCATAAGCATACGTGAAAACTCAGAGATAAGCATTCAATCCAGTCTCTGTAACAAATTAGCCTTGGATTTGACAGAGTTCGTTCGCATGAGCATGGTTTCTTCGTCGTGGAACTCTGCCTTGGGTGTGATCGGGTCGATCTGTTCCACGTAAAGCCTCGTTCTGCGTATAGCTCAGTGCCACCGAGCGCGACAAAGCGCTCGACACAAGTGTCACAAACGATCAAGCATGACTGCTTCTCAGTAAAAATACGTCCTCGTCGGTAGAACAGTCATGCCGAGCCCCAAGGAAACGCTGTCGTTACGACCTGCTCCCACAGGAACAGCGCTGAGTTACGGTCCGCGGCTCGATGACCTCAGTTACCAGGTCAATGATCTCATGACAGCACCGACTCATTCATGGGTTAACCTTTTCTACTCCTATGATCGATATGATCAAAATGCTACACGGTTGTGAAAAGAATGGCTGAAACCGTGTAGCATTTGATCATATCGATGCCCGGCCGGGGAAACCGTGGCCCAGATTTGATTTAATTTGATTTTTCATTTACCCTGACCCATCCTAGTTAGGATAGGCTGCTGAGATTTGTTCCCCCGATTCTGGGATTTGTCCCCCCTTTGAGATTTGTCCCCCCCGCTAGCTGTAATGTACTTTAAAATCGCTGTAAATGGCTTAGCGCATAATAACGCGCCGCGCTTTAGGGGCAACTTCATCAATGAATTTGTATTTATAAAGATTCTTCAATTACCAGTAGCAACTATAGAAGATATTCCTGCCCCGCCAGACTCTATTTATAGCTCTTATGATGAAGCATACAACTCTCTTAAAAGTCATGGTATCTAAAATGGGTATGGCTTTGTACTTAAACGGAGTAAGCCTCACCACTCTGATATCAAAATATGATATTACTATCAATGCAACCGCTTTAGAGTCTATAAGTCAACAGCAAAGACTCTAAGCACAAGTATACGTGCAACAGGGTGTCCTTTTAAGCTTGTCATCTTTAAAGATACCCAAAACGATCAGTGGAAACTGGAAGTCCAAGTCAAGCAGCATAATCATGCCCCATCTATTAATCTAATGGCTCATAACATCTATCGCAAACGTATAGAAAAGCAAAAAGAAGTCATCAAGACTATGTCATATGCTGGAGTTCGGCCAATGCAAATAATGGCAGCCCTTCAACAAGATGACCCGCATACCTTTGTCTCTGCCTCAGATGTTCGCTCAGAAAGAAAGGCCATCTAACAAAAGCACTTAGATAGAAGAAGCCTAATTGAAACAGTATTAGACGACTTATCATCATCAGATTGGGTTTTCTCTTTAACTAGGGACCCTGAGAATCATATACAATGCCTCTTTTTTATCCATCAAAAGCAGATTAAACTGCTATTAGCAAATCCTGATGTTCTTTTAATGGATTGCACATATCAAACTAATAAGTATAAGCTTCCACTATTACACATACTTGGCTGCACCAATCTTCAGACCTTTTTCTCTATTGGCTTCTGCTTTCTTCGTAATGAGACGGAGGAAGACTACTATTGGGCACTCTCAACCTTTCTCTCACTCACAGGAGTGCCACATCCACACGTATTTATAAGCGACCAAGAACAAGCAATAACGCAGGCAGCTCGTAGATTGCTTCCAAATGTTCCACAGCTTCTTTATATATGGCATATCAACAAGAATGTCCAGATAAAGGCTTAACTTGTATGGAGAGACGCCGATGGTACAACACTAGAAGAAAAGAAGGCAATTGCTGAAGAACGTCAGAATTTTCTGAAGCGCTGGAACCAGGTATGTCACACCTAAACAATATTATTAATAATCTAACAAACTAGGTCGTCTTCGCACCTAAGCGTCCTGACTTTCAAATAAAGTGGGATAAGCTTCTTAATGATTATCAGCATCAGGAAGAACTATGCAGGTATCTAAAGGAGAATCAATATGAAACACGCGCTTAATGGGCGGAGGTTTGGACATCCTATCATCGACACTATGATACAATTACAACTTCTCCTGTTGAAGGAATGCATAAAGTACTAAAGGATTATTTACTGATTTCTACTGGCGATATACTACATGTTGTTCAGAGAATTGAGCAGTTAATCCATAATCAGTATAATAAATATGAGAAGGAGATCGCGTTATCTATGCATAACATCAAGTTTGAGCATATGCATGAGAAGATGCTGTTCCTGCCATCTAATATTTATACAATAATCACACCGCCTGCAGTCGAACGTATCAGACAACAGGAACTTATGCGTCAAAAGGAAGAGAAACAGCCAAGCAGTAAAAAGCCTTGTTCAGGTCTTTTTGAGAGGATAAATGGCCTTCCATGTCGCCATAGACTGCAAATAGCAATAAGTTATGGGCCTTTACCTCTGCGCTATATATATGATGATCACTGGCGTTATTAGTGTACACATGGACAGTCTATTTAAATACCTTCGCCGAGACCACACCAGTTTATCCTTGAGCCACTTCTAGCTAATATAAGATGAGCGCAAAAGAAGAGCCAATTATCAACTCACTAAGATCCGTCAGCATTTGAGCGCTCTGTACCACAATCTAACCCTATAAACCAGAAAGAAGGACAGACACCAGCAGAAGCCTTATCAACTAGTACACAGGTTACTGTATCTATGGCTCCGCATATGCTATCTACAAAAATCCTGTAATAATATCTGTTTCTATATCAATCCCAGTAACAGCTGGTCCAGTGTCAACTCTGCTCTCCTCACCAACTGCTTCTATTTATTCTTCACCAATTTCTATCACAGTACCTGTTACTGAAGCCCCATCATCACCACTGCCATAACTGCCATAACTACTACAACCACCACAACAACAATCTTTATAGCAGCCTCCATCTTTAGAGGAGTTCTTAGTAGATATTGAACGCCGTCGACATCAACCAGTTCTAGATGGCTTACACAATATATCCACAGTCTTTAGTTATTTTTATAAGACCGGACAGGAAGACGCTCCACCTAAGTTAGTTGAGGCACGGCATATGGCACTAAGTACCCGTGGAATCTATGCTGATTGCACCTCAACCATGGCGTGGAACTTTCATTTTGGAGACAAAGATGCCTTCTACACTGAAAGATTTGCACAAGTTCAGGCTTGAAGATCACTGCCTGTAGTACAAAGTACACTAGTATTGCGGTCTAAGCGCGCTGCAGCATATAAAGCATCAGACGCGTGGTCATCGCTTAGCCCAAATAAAAGATAACGCCGTAGATAGATGTATATAAACACCTTTACTAACTATATAAGTTTGTTATCTCTTGAATAATTTGATAAAATAGGTGGCACTGCGCTAAGCCATTTACAGCGATTTAAATTACATTACAGCTAGCGGGGGGGACAAATCTCAAAGGGGGGACAAATCCCAGAATCGGGGGGACAAATCTCAGCAGCCGTTAGGATACGTGTCGCAGGTCATGTGCACCTGACTAATCTAGCGCAATGCTAGGCAGTGCTGAGGACTGCTGTGCGCGGCGTATTAACGAGCTACAGAAGATGAAAGATGGATGGAAAACTAGATAATTGAGAGGATAGGAGGTGGTCCTTTTATTGACTATCTGCAATGTGAGAGATCATTGTGGGTTGTGGTTGTGGTTTTTGGTTGTATCTTCTTAAGTGATCTCGCTCAAGCGATGGCTAAATAAGGCGCTAGATTAGTCAGGTACACGTGACCTGTGACACTTACCAAGTATCAGGTGACAAGAGGAATTGCTGGCAAGATGAGAGAGTAGAGCCAGGGGTAGGGGACAGGAGAATAATGAGACAATCCATCAGTGAAGATAGCATACAATTCACTCAACAAGTTTACGATCTCACGTATGCATCATTCATCGTCCCCGTGATCCTCCGCACGGACATTGACGCGCCCATGAACGAGGACTCCATTTGAACTGGCCTGCACTTCAAGTAAATCCCAGTATTCTCTCAATTACAGAAACGGCCATCTCTATCTCATATGTATTTGTTAACCGCCCTCTGTGTTAAGACTCCCGTCTCTGGCCATATTCAGACCCATACTTGGCTCCACCATAGCCCGATGACGCGGTTTTGTTTGTGCCTTGGTAGGCAGGATGGTCTGAATCTGGCGGTCGATGGACCTTGCTGTCCCCTTGAAACTGTCCAGTCAATTTTTCTGGATAGGGCAATAATTCTTTATTCCTCAGGCCATGCTCCGCTACCGTCTCTGGTGGAGGGGTGGAATGCTTTCTGGAATTCTCCCGTATAAAAGGTGGAGGGAATATCTCTGATGATCTCGGCACCAGATCTTCGTACGGTTGACCAGCTGTATCCTTTGCTCTCCTTTTGAACGGCTTCGGCTTCTCGACGAGAGATGTTTTTTCGTCCTCACCTTTGCCACCTTCGGGAATCTGCTTTGGCCACGAGATCATGGACTTCAGGTTCGGAAGCTCCTTGTCGCGCTTCTGCACGAGCGCCCAAACCAAACATGCGATAGCCACCGTGGCCAATGTAATTCCAATCCCCACACCGATACCACCGCCGAATGTCTTGCGTACAGTGGGATGAGGCAGAGAAGTTGGGATCAGGCCCAGCGATGGCTCGATGGTGCAAATATCGGACGTGCAGTTATATCCCGGAGGGCAACAGGAGTCTCCACATGTTAACAATTGTGGTGGCTCGCCTAGGATGTGCACCGGGCTCAATGAGCTGTTGGAAATATTGCATGGTATGGGGCGAATGCTGGCACAATCACTGTTATCTGGGCAGCAGAGTACGACCGTAGTCGTTGTGCTGTTAACCGGGAGGCATGTAGTGGAGTTTTTGCAGCACCAGCTGGAAGGATAGCTCTTGCCGCACTGACTGTATTGTGGATTTCCCTCGCAAGCGCTGTTGTCTCGGAGCTCCAAGTTATTAGAGAAAACGGAGCGAAGGCACGCAAAGAGTAAAAAAGTGTAGAGCCGATTATTCTTCCACATGTTCATGGCGAGAGCGAGGTTTGAGCATTCGATCTTGCTACACACACACACTGTGGAATACTTATCACTTGGACTAGGGATGTAGGGAGACTCTATGATTTAGGCTATGATTAAATTCTGGACTCCTACACAGCCTTGGAATCTAATGAATCGCCTTGTACTGTAAGAAAATTGAAAGAGCGGCAAGCGCACAGCTACCATCCACGAAGTGCTAAGCTACCTGCTTCTAAGTTGGGCAGTCGGTCATGGATGCTCTGTCCGGTCGTAAAAGCCAATGCGTTCATCCAGGATCGCACAAATGATGCCAGGACGTTGAATATTGGGAGTCATGGTTAAGATCACTGTCTTTCGATCCGCGCGGGGATCTTCAATAAGGACGTGGAACTTTGTCTGCTATCTGCAGGTTCTATGCTACAAATCTACCAGAATAACGAATCACGTGGCTTCCATGGATGAATGCTTACCTCTCGAAAGCTGCTGAAGACGGAAGGATTTGACCTCGCCAGGTCCGTGACAGTGCAGAGAGTGCAGTTGCATTATGTATTAGTCCTCCACGCCATTTGTCCGTCTTATGTGCACACTAAATATAACTGTCACATTGGAGGAACCTGATGTGCTCCTTATAAGGCAGCTGAGAGCTATTGGTGTGATCGTCGATCTTTCAAATGCCATCTTTCTCTCGGATGTCGGCTGTCCATATGTAACCCTCGGGCGACTCCGTTTCGAACATACTAAACAAAGAAAGGGAGACATCTTCATAGCGGATACCATACCGAAGAAAATCGCTACATACCATACCGTACTGTAGGGAAAACGGTATAACATTAGTAGTAGTAATAGTATTAGTAGCTTATCGATATAATAGTAATTCTAGTTATAAACATAATTGCAAATACAGAAACTACTATAATAAGTACTGTAAACTATAGAAGTGGGACGGGATGGTATTTTCCGTGGCTACCGTACCGGCTGCTGCAAAGACTGATCGGTTTTTGCTACGAAAGCGCAGAGGCATTTACCATACCATACCGTACCGTGGGATATCCTAGATGTTCATATTTAACAACATGTGGGATATGCCCCCAGTTCAATCCACGGGCCAGTCCGTATATCACTACGTCATGATACATTCGTCGTGCAGCCATAACTCTCATGCGTCGCAGTTAAAGCATTAGATTATCTGGATTAAACAGCTTCTGACATGTGCTGGTGGTCATCAGTTCCTGGCCAGATAATGTCAGCAGGCTTGAAGTTCCATGTTCGGAGTTATCGGCAACGTACGAAGATCTGAGGCAAGTTACATACTCTATGGTAATGCATTGTCCCCAGTACAAGCGTGATGTTTCGGTAGACAGTCTTCATTCTCGATCCAATGCTCAACGACCGTTGTTCCGTTGTTGAGATGATTGATCCTGTATGGTTTTTACCTTTTTTTTCGGTACGGCACGGTATATACCGCTACCATGGGGCACCCAAGCCGGTCAATATTAACCTTAGCCAGCCGAGAATTGCTAATCCCTACCATGTTGCGTAGAAGCTACCCAAGTCTGCCAAATCTCGTTGCTGCATCTCAAAGTTCAGCATCGAGCCCTTCGCACGCATTGATAGACATATATACATATTCCTCGACATCAATGGTGATGTGCCATTTTGCGCCCTCCTTTTAATGAGGTACCCTTGATGAACTCATGTTTTTATGCAATAGAATAACATTGCATCAAATCATATAATGTAACCATTCATTGAAGACCTCCATTTGAAATTCGGCTGCTTCAAGAATCCGTTTGGGCAAGCGCAAAAAAACTCCTTGACGCAATAAACTCGTGATGACACGGCTTAATTTTGCAGCCCCAGTCGACCTGTTCGCAGCGTATAATACCAACTGAGGGAAGCTATTTCGAGGTGACTATATTTGACCAGCGAAGATATATCGCTTCTAAATGATTTGTTTATAGCTCGTAAATAGTGGATACCCATCTTCTTCCTTTATATCTAGTCGAAGCTCGCCTTCCTAGCCTATTAATAGAAGAAGCAGCGGTTTATAGTCCAATGTGAAGCATATGTCCTCAAGGATTGAACCTCAAAATGCAGAACTTTGCAGATATTCCAACTCCTGAACTCCTGTCGATAGCCGAAGACCTGGAGCTAGAATATAAGAATCTAATGACGCAGATTGCTTTTTACTCAGCAATGCAAGTGGCTAGCCTAGAGCTCGATAACAGGGTGCAAATAGCCCTAGAGAAACTAAAGACGGCAGTAATTGCTTTCAGTAACGTCGAACGGATGGTCGAAGCGGCCACCAAAAATGCCAAGCCTAGCGCTATATTTGAACAAGAGAAATCCCGATCCCAACTTCCAAACAAAAGTTTTGATATTGAGCAAAAGAGATACACCAATGAATCAGATAGCTGTGACGTCGCGATGAAAAGCATCGAGCCAGATGTGGAGCGTTTGGAGCTACAATCGGCACTCTGTGGACTTATTGCGACCGTAAGGAATGCCTTAAACTTGAAACCAAGAGCACATAAGAAAATTGAGCTGCGAGGCCCTTCCATCCGGTCTAGAGCTCCAAGTCCAGAAAGTGGATAAAACAAGTCGTCTCCGCCGAATGAAATGGACGTAATTGGGGTTGCTTGCACGTGTAGTAATAAGTTGACGTGAACAATAGATCAAGTAACTTAGGCTGGCTATAACACGTATACAGTGTCATGTTGGTCTATTCTAATTATGTAACGCAAAATGCTAATATCTATGGCTTATTTCTGATTTCTTCCTTTTGTGCAACGGTTGAGCGAGTCTATCTAGTGCCGCTACGGTTGAACTTCAAGGAATTTTTCTATTCACCTCACCATGTCGCTTGGTCGTTTAAACATATGGCTCGAAATTCGCCCTAGAGAAGTTCTAATTGGTACACTTCGCACAGGCACACAGCCGCATCAACTTTAAGAGGCCGCTGGTTTCTTAAGGGGTCACCATCCCAGCTAAGGCCACATGCAAATACCTGGGAGTCACTATAGACTGGAGGCTTAAATAGAAGGAACACATCACAGAGATCTACAGGAAGGTCTTAAAAACAATCGCCGCACTCAGCTCTATCATGAGCTCTACATGGGGCTCAGGCTTATAAGACATGCGAAAAATCTATAGAGGCACGGCGGTGCCACAGATGATGTATGCCTGCTCTGCCTGGTCGAACCCAGCAGGTGCAAGGGGTAAATACACAGAAACCACACTTAAGATACTAAAGGGCCTGCAAGCCCGCGGAGCGAGGGCCATATACAGAGCATACAAGGCGACTTCACACACGGCTCTAGACATAGAGGCGCATCTGCTTCCAATCAAACAACAGATATGGAAACACATGTTACGATGGTAACACGTGACAAGCTAAAAGAATAAGATAACTTAAGTTAAGTTAGCCAGCGTTTGCTCATGTCACGTGATATTGGCACGTGCATAAACTGACAAGCTGCAGATAATTTGCGGCCAAAACGAAAAAACACCATAACAGCGAGAACTCAAATCGTTGAAATTGAATATTCCTATCATGCGAACACGTCACCCTGAAGGAACTGAGGTCGTCAGCAGTCGCAGTGCGTCGCCCAACGCGTGTGGAACGCGAAATAACGATCCCATAGCCTCAAGAGGTGGCATGGCCAGTACCAATACAGGAGCACGCTACTCAACTTACGGGGTACCTTTGGAACGTACTGCTCTATCTAGATCGCGAGGAAAACCAACCAGTAACCCCAGAAGAGATGAGAACAGTGGTTATGGCAGCAATATCCCTGGTCGGAAAGGTCATGAGGACCCCTAATATGACGGCGGTACATCAGAAGATGAGCACCATATACACAGAAATGACGGCGAACGCGAACAGCACGGTGAAAGAGATATATAACATCAAAGAGGAACTCAAGAATCTGGTGGTGAAGGTACAAAAAGGCATCACAGTGGGCGAGACAGCTACCGTGGCAGCGACTGAGGCCGCGGAAGTAGGCAAGACAGTCGCCGCTATGGCGAGAGATATAAAGAACAAAGGAACACAGCATCAGACAGGAGGACCAATGAGCTATGCTGCTGCGGCAGCACATGGTGCTCTGATCATAAATACACACAGCACACAGAATACTCATAATACTCCATCTCTAGTGCAGCGTGAGATCATCATGAATATAAGAAATGCCCAGACAATCCAACACCTACGCTCCATGAATCCGCGTATCATGAAAGCCCATATTGACATAGCCATCGCCCAGAGCGAAAATGAACACATAGCTAAGATCACCACCATATCAGCCAACCAGCTTAAGAGCAGGGATCTCAGCATCAGAACAGCAACGAACAGTGAGATGCAGACGCTCCGTGAATTCACAGATGACTGGGTTCCTCGACTCGGAAGCGGAACGTCAGTACACACCTATATATATAGGGTTATTATATATAGTATACACACTAGTATGATAAACACTGAGAGGTTCGAGGAGGTCAAAGCCGAAATCCTGCAAGCTAACAGAGTATTCCTCCCTACAGCAGACATCAAATACATTGGCTGGCTGACTAGGAGACCACTAAACAAATTAATGTCGTCCATCGTCATCAAGTTCACATAAGCAGAAGATGCCAACAAAATCATCGACAAGGGACTGGTATGGGAAGGAGAGAGATATAATAGTGAACAATATAAGAGACAGTGCTAACTGAAGCAGTGCTTCCAATGCCAAAAATACGGCCATATAGGAACCCAATGCAAGGCAGTAAAGACATGTGGCTACTACGCGCAGTTATACAGCTCCTGGGAGTGCCTATCCAAGACCGGTCAGGATACCACCAGGAAGTGCGCAGTGTGCCTCGGAGCACACGAAGCATAGAGCCAGGCATGCCCAACCAGGAAAGAGGAATTGGGCAAGATTAAAGTAGTGCTCGCAACACAGCCCAAGTATCACCCGACCTTAAGCGAAATAGATCAGCAGGGGCCAGATCAGATGATTCTCAGGAGATCAAGGTCTGAGAGGGAACTAGAATCCATCCCTGACTTACGGAACACCCTGTGCAAAGGAACAGCCCATGGGTACATTGTCTTCGTAGCTATTTTAATCCACACACACATCTCTATAAATATGTTTAAATATATACTCTGTACCTTGAGCCTTTCTAAATATATCAGGCTATCTCTGCTATAAAAAATACAATTGCGTTCCCGTCTCATCGCCCAGCGAAAAGCAAGCCTGGTTAATGGTATAAACCGACTTCAGCCAGACCGGCCCTTTTTCAAGGCTCTTCTTAAGTTCAAAATAAACTGAACAGTTCCGTTTAAGCTTATTTATCTAATCATTGTGCTAGAAATCCATCATGATTCTTATTGCTGTGGTGAAAGTTAATTTCATGCAGCGATCGGTACCTTTTGATTGAAGCCAATACAAATTTGGTTAGTGTATTCCTCTTTTCGTATCTTACATAATCTCAATAGCTTTGATCAGGTAGGGTACATTTAAGACCTGTGGCTCCCTGACTGGAATTCTCCTTGCGCTGTTGGTGCCTTACGACGTCAAGGCAACAAGGCATCACCGCATCGACTTTTGGAGAGCACCAGCGAAAGTATGGATCTCAAAACCATCGCCATGGCGGCATCAGCTACATTTTATGCCTCGCGTTGTGAGCAGTCTTCAAGAACTTCATATTTGGTAATTAATTCATATTAGACCTCTAAATTTCTTGAAGTAATGCCATTCCGTTACTCCACGACGCGCAAAATACTACCTACCTTCTCCAACTCTAAGTGATTGACAATGTAAACATGTATTCTATTTTCTACTTCATATCATCCGCGCTACAGGTGCAATCTGCTGTTCACTTCTCCAAGCTGTCTCAAATATCGGCTCTGCTATAATTGGACTTGGCACACGAGTCTTGCGCTTCCGGGCATATTCTAGTTTGCCTCCAGTGGCTTGCGCTGGGCCTGGCTCTGGCTCAGGTGTCTTGCGCTTTCGACCACGTTTCGCTTTGCCTACAGTAACTTAGATTCATCTGGCTCTGGCTCTGACTCAGACTCAGACTCAGACTCAGACTCAGACTCAGGCTCAGGCTCAGGAATTTTTCTTTTTCTACCGCGCTTGCCTTGACCTTTCGCTTTTGCTGCGTCTTTTGCCGCTCGTTTCGCTCGTGCCTCCTCCAGATCCTCATAGCTCATAATTCTTGCTTTTCCCAAAATTAATGACCTTGTAGATTGGCGAACTTTACCTTCGTTATTGATTTGTCTCAGAAATTGAATTTGTTCTCGCTGGAGGTCACGTTTGGCAAAGCATGTTCGAGCAGCATTCTCAAACTTCTGCAAATGCCTTTATAGGCGCTGTTTGCTCTTCTTGTCTTCAGTATATGTATCCTGTTTGATCAGATTATACAGCGATATAAGAGCTTCGGTTATTACTGGTGTTTAGAGTACTTCACATTGAGGTTCGGGGTTAATTTTACAGGGCTCCAGGGTTGGAGCAGGAAGCTTAGGGACTGGCTTAGGAATTTCCGTAAGCACTCTGTCCGGATTGAAGGGATACAAACCGCTAGCTCTCTATCCCGCAAGGATGTTTCTTCTAGTGAAAGCTCTCTCTCTCGCAGGGCCGTAAAGATACATGAAGTGCTGCTTGCCGATCGTACCGACACCTCCTCACTCAAGCCGCTCAACTTCATCTCAATATACTACTTTCAAAGGGGAAAACACGGCGACATCACAAGGCTGCAGTTTATGAGATATATGAGAAGGTAGACGACATAGGGAAATATTGTTTTTAAAACAGAACTGAAGGATCTCCAGAGTTTCGTGCGATCCAAAGCCATCGCAGGCAAGGACTCTTGGTTTTCCATTCGCTCGTAGCCGGGTCTGAGGATCAAAGACTCGTTTAAGCCACTCCAAGCTGATATAGGAGTCAGTATATCCAGATTCGGAGTATGCATAGTGCCATCCTAGCGTAGGATACGTTGTCCAGTTTCCCCGATGAGTAGATGCTAGCCAGATGATCATTGGATCTAGATACCTACCATCTGCGCTTATACATTCCACGGCAGTAACAACTGTGCGCGTTGCACGTACGGCTCTGTGGCCTCGCAAGTCGTCCTTACCAATAAGAACTTTCACACTTCCTGGCATACTAAGCATAACACCAGTTTCATCCATATTGTAGACATTCTCAGGTATTACGGCTGGGTCTTGAAGTATGGTGCTAATCACCTCGAACCAGTGGACGACCTTATTATAGATATTATACCGGTCCCAGTCCAGTGTCCTCATTCTTCTGGCCTTGACTTCTGGATGACGTTTCTCAAAAGCCCGAGCCCAGTTTTTGCCTGGAGGCTTCTGTGGTTTATTTATGGGACGCTGGCGGGCGATGCTAAAGGCTAATGAAGGAATATGCTTTATTCATACGCGTTGTCCAAATTTGCCAAGTTATAATATAAAATTTACGACAGCTTTCTCTTCACATGGGTTGAGATATTGTTGGCTCTGGTTCTTGACCGCTTTCAGGCATTGGCCGTGTGCACGATAATAGAGGGTCGTATGAGGGACTTCGCCATATTCTGCTCGGGCATGGTACGTATCGCGCACGCCAGGAGGTAACTCTTGTGCCAGGACCTGGCTGGCTCTGTCTATGTTAGCTTACGGTGGTTGTAGTGCTGTTCAGGAGAAATGAGCGAGAAGATATGCGGGCGTGAGGACATAGGTGGGATTGCGCTTGACCCTGACAGAGGGCCAACTTGTGGGCCTATCTATTTTTAGCTGTTCATGGTTCCTTTATTGTAAGGCATTGCTATACCGCAGTTGAAGTCAAGTCAAGCACTTGAAGAGATGCGGAAAACTGGATAAAGAAAATTTGAAACTTGAGATTGTTGAAGCAGGAATGCTCGATTAGGTTGAGCTGCAGGCACCAGGGACTGGTGCCCTGCAGGGTGCCTGAGCGTAACTCGATAACGTGGTTCACCACCAAGTCATTACCTTAGTGCCTCGGGCCTTAAAATTCAGTGAAAGCCGCCTAAATTCTAGTGGGACCCCTGCTAAACTTAGGGGGGTATGCCGACTCGGTGTACCACGTTAATAAAAGAATATCCATCATGTGTATTTACCATGTATGCGGATATGTCTTCGTATGGATGTTTTTATCACAATATAGATGTCCTGAACACCCTTTCAGAATCTAACTTGCTACGGATGTTGTTTCGGCTACTTGTATTGGCGGACCAATGTTGACCAGATTAACGTGATTCAAGTCGATTCGTTCAATATGAAGCCTTAGCGCCTTAGGCCTCACGATTTAGTCTGTGGCTGTGCCAACTGACCAGTGAAATCATGCTAAATAGGCAATTGCGCGCTTATGTTATATTATGCTAAGCGACTCATGTGTCTTCAATAAAAGTTTACGGAACCCGCATAAACAGAAATCTGTCTGTTGTTTGTGGTTCCTGAACGCGTGTGACAAACCACCTCATGGCCTGCCGCTCTATCTCTCAGCTTGCAAAGACATTGTGCTACTTGAACACAGATCGATACTGCGTGTCTTTAATATGCATACACCACAGTTGAGATTTCCTTACATCACTACGTTGACGCCATTCTATGTTTAGACCACCTGCTGAATGGAATCTCATCACGAGTTTCCCCACCAAGGATAAATCAATTCTTGAACTTGAAATTTGCAAACGGGCAAGAAGAGGTAGGTCTAATTCTTCTCTGTACTTATATTCTCACTGATATATTGTAGTCATTGTATCATCGAACCCTATCCCCAGTCATGCAAGCCAAAATGGATATGAGCAATGTACCCACACGTATTTTCATCATACTCCGAGACTCTAGCCCTTATTAGTCAAAGCCTGATTCTGAAGTAATTGGAGTGGCGCTTTCGCTTATTTCTTAACAGAAGGTTTTGGGTTCAACAGGTTGCACCTTCACGGCGAATGAATACAAATTCATGGCGAAAGAGATATGGGGGGCTGTTACATTCTTTATATTCGATCTATCTAATGATAATTACAATCTGAACACTGTATATAAGGAAGGCGAGAATGACCTCCCGGTTGTCACGGTCAGACTCTCCAAAAGTAAGGAGACAGCTTGATATGAGGGCAAACCTTTACAGATGCAGGTCAACCAACAACTCCGACATATCTATGACAAAGTGGGCTATGGGTATGAGCCGCCTTTCTTTATTGATTATACTAATGGCAAAGTGCCGACATATCCCAATCCGCGCACCGCTGTGCGCTGTCCGCCTTCCACTCTTGTTACCTCCTCCGCGTCGGTTGTATTGTAGAAAGATATTATGTGTCTGGAGGTGTTGTAAGGCTATATGGCCCACACTTTGTCCGGATAACACTTACGGTTGAACCGTTAGTGTAGGCCGCGTGTTGTATGTTAGGACAAGGAATTTTGTATTGGCGACCGATCTCTGCGTTGCATTCAGTGCAGATTTCTATCTCCCAGTGACATATTTCTGAGAATCAGTTAGCAAAGCCTTTTTTTGGATACGGGTTGATACTTTTGAAGAGTTCTTGATGGGCGTATAACTAGTTAAGTGTTCGCGTAATGTGTGTCTGTTCTAGGAGGAGCTAGAATTATGCCCACCCCGCACCACTGCACTGCCAATTCTGTAGTTAGCTTACCGTAGTTAACAACCCTGAGCTCCAGCACGTGATATGAGAAAAATAACCGAGTTGAGTGGCGCTACGTCCTGTTCAAGTTGCCGAGGTAATGTAGTTAGTATGTGTCTACTTCGTACCGTTCCTAACATTAATGTCGCACTTGAGTGCAGGGTGGGATGTGCTCTGAATTGGTCAAGGTTGTGTTGATTAATTGTCTGAATCTGAAGCTAGCCAATCCATGTATTGCTGAAATGCCTGAGGTCTTAACATATGTTGCCTTGCAATAATCAATCTCCAGACCTATGCCAGCATGTGGTTAGGAAAAAGATTGTGGCTAAGGGCCAGGGGTACAATTAGACGACGGCACGGCTAATCCCAAAGTGGTTGGATGTGAATTTTTGGCCAAGATTTTCGATCGCCGACAATACTCCATGCAACTCCAGTCAAGCTCGGGATGGCTAAATTTGTGGGAGAAATAGCTTCTAAGCTTGCAATAATATTCTCTTGTATTCGGCAATTTGTATCAAGACATTTTATTTTATATATATTATGAAGGTGGCGATAGAGCAGGGGGGATTTGATTAAGCAGCAGAATATGCTGTGAAGAAGATAACGAAAATAATATCCAAAACTATGGTAATTTTCCTATCGCATATTGCTGATATAAATAAATATAGCTGAAAAACAGTGCATTAGTGGTTTCATGTTCGTGAACTTGAAGGAGAGAATTTGACGTGGCTGGTAAGGGTGTCTTGTTCCTTTGCATGGGGTGTTCCGTACGTCAGGGATGGATTCTAGCCCTGACGTCAGAATCAGGGACGAGCCGGCCTAGCTCCACGCGAGGACAAGGACAGAAGAGGTCAGCACCCACAGGAGACAAGGAAAATGAAGCCCCAAGTGCCAGCCAATAACCACAGAGGGTGGCAATGCCGTCAAGACGGGCGCTCGAGGCGCTGGAAGCAAACACAAGCAGACGCAATAACACACAGATGGATATCGACCTTGATATAGATGCATGATTAAATGACAATAATAATTGAACATACTGCAATATAACGTACGTAAATCAAATGATACAGTCATGGCGACACTGCTACGAGACCCCAGGGTTGCAGAGTACGATGTACTTGCGATCCAGGAGCCGTGGAGGAACCCATTCATGTTGACAACACACCACCCAGCGAAGGATATATTCCACCTCTGCTACCCAACCATAGACGATAGGGAAGGCCCAGCACAGGTGTGCTTCTTCATCAATAAGAGACTCGACCACAGCGCATGGCAATTTGAACAGCACACGAGAGACCTGTGCACGCTGAAAATCAGCACAAACAGACCAGGTGCGTCAGATGATAAGTATATCATACATAACATGTATAATGCACCACAGAACACAATAGGACGAAACAGTATCCTTCCACTACTTAAGATATAACTAGAGGAACATGCAACTAAAGAACAAATCGCCTTAAGCGACTTCAACCTCCATCACCGGTTCTGGGGGGGCTCAAGAGTCCGACACGAAGGACAGGAGGCAAAGGATCTCCTCGAGATGATGGAGACTCTAGACATGACCAGCATGCTAGAACCAGGCACTATCACCTATGAACAAGGGGACGGCAGATCAACCATAGACCTCTGTTGGATGACGCTAGGCGTGGTGGACAGGACCATCAAAAGTACAGTGATAAAGATATGGATCACGACTCCGACCACCTACCTATCAGCATTCTTCTAGATGTCAGAACCAACCAGAACAATGTCAAACCCAACCGTCTATAGAAACACCTAAACACCAAAAGTTTCTGCAACGCACTATAACACTCCCTACCACCAAGAAGAAGACCGAGGACACCTGTGGCATTAGATAGCTATACTTGAGAACTTGTAGCTGCTATCACTCAGGCCGCTGACAAAGTACTCCCACTGAGAAAATACAGTCTCAAAGCTAGGGAGGGATAGGATGATATATGCACTATGGTACTAGCAGAGACAAAACACTTATACTGCATATACACAAGACAACCAATGATGGCGATGTGGGAGCTCTACCGCGAAGCACAGAACCGGAAAACACGCGTGATAAGGAAGGCCCTCTGCCAGGCGCACAGGGATCGAATAGAAAAAGCCGCAGGGTCAGCAGAGTCCCTCTGGAGGATCGCCAAGTGGGCTCGCAATAGAGAGAACCAACCCCTAAGCGTGATACCCACGATCAAGTGCACACGCACCAGAAAAGAAGCCATAAAACCAGAGGAGAAGGCCGACCTTCTATGAGAGACCTTCTTCCTAGAACCACCTGAGGCAGACCTGAGAGATATAGAGAGTGCAGAGTACCAAGATCAGATCCTAATGCCTAACATCACCGAGAAGGAAGTTCTCGATGCTATTCAAGCTGCAGCGCCACTTAAAGCTCTAGGGCCGGATGGCATCCCAAATAAAGCCGTACAAGCAGCCTTATCCATGCTGGTGGGATATCTAACCACAATTATAAACCAGAGCATGAAGCTAGGATACTGTCCTGCACACTTCCGGACGTCCACAACGGTTGCCTTGCGCAAGCCTGGGAAAGACGACTATACTACACCTAAAGCATACTATCCTATAGCCCTACTGAATATAATTGGCAAGGTCATGGATGCGGTTATCGCACGCAGACTAAGTTATCTAATAGAGACCTACCACATACTTCCTAGACTGCATATTGGTGGGAGGAAGCTGAGGTCCACCGAGCATGCGCTACATACCGTCATGGAGAGGGTGTATAAGGCGTGGAACATAGGCCAAGGCCAGGTGCTTGGCCTCTTACTGCTCGATATCTCAGGTGCCTTTAACAATGTCTCGCACAAAAGACTGCTGCATAACCTGTGGAAATGGAGGGTTGATAAGAGAATTGTCAGATGGATAGCAAGCTTCCTTAGTGACAGACGCACAAGAATAACTATTGATGGTTATAAGTCTGATAAGTATGCTATTGAGACTGGTGTGCTGCAGGGCTCCAATCTGTTGCTGGTCCTCTACATCCTCTACAACACCGACCTAATAGAGTGCTATAATTCTGATAACACAAAAGCAACAGGGTATATAGACAATAGTGCGATCTTTACGTGCGGAAACTCGACCGAAGAGACATGTGCCAAGCTCGAGCATGCACTTGAAAAAGCCAGTTAATAGGTGGGAAAACACATATCTAAATTTGCTCCTGAAAAGTTCCAACTCACCCACTTCACACGCGCGCGCACGCGCATTGATGTGAAGCGGCCGCTAGACACCACTTTAGGAAAGATCAAGCCTAAGACAATATGCAAATACCTTGGAGTTATACTCGACAGCAAGCTGAAGTGGAAAGAGCATATCCAGGAAATACGCAGAAAGACCATGAATATGGTTAATACACTAAGTTGCCTAGGCAGTTCAATATGGAGCGTCAGCCAGACCGACATGAGAAAGATCTACTGCGGCGTTGCTGTGCCACAGATGATGTACGCATGCTCACTGTGGTTGAACCCGGGAGGGAGCAAGGGCACATACACGGGCCAAACTCTCGACATGCTGAAGGCTATCTAGGCGTGAGCGGCTTGATCGATCTGCGGAGCCTTTAAGGCAATATCCTGGCCAGCGCTCGATATCGAGACACACCTTCTCCCAATCAAATACCAGATATGGAAACATAACGCTAGAGCCGTAGGCCGGATGCTCACAAGTGACGGGCTCCTGGAGCTGTCAGGGCTGGCCAATGCGTGCAGCCAAATTGGTCGGCAATAGGAACTAATATATAAATCGCCACTTTCTTCGATCATCAATCGACTGAGAACAGACAATATAGTCTATCTCTCTAATTGCGAAAAGATCAGACCCTTCATTACCCTACCCTGGTGGCAGGGTGCAGCTATACACATAGCCTTGAATGATGATGAAGCGCTCTCTCAATATAATAAAGTTACCACTGACAGAGACAACACCTGCATATACACAGATGGAAGCTGTATTAAAGGTCAAATAGGAGCAGCTGCGGTGTGGCCCGCGAGACAATAAACAAGAAGCATATATATGGGTCCAGACACTATATTGACAGTATACGCAGCGGAGCTGCAAGGCATCTGGATAGCGCTAGCTATGGTACAGGAAGATATGGAGCAAGGAAATAATTATAAACACCTGCACAACTTTGCAGACAACCAAGTAGCCATCCACTCTGTTATCAGACCAGAGGGTTGCTTAAGAGTATATATCATTCAATAGATAGTGCAAAAGATCAATGAGTTAAGGGCTGTAGGAGTTACTATCGATATCCGATAGATATGCGCCCATAAAGGGATTGATGGCAATGAGCGTGCGGACCTGGCTGCCAAGGAGGCCACAGGATGGAGGATGGGAGACAGCAGAGGACAAAGGGCGGAACCACTAGCACAGCTACATCCACTAAAGACAACTCTCAAAACATAGAGTTACAAGACTGCTGACTGACGCTGGCAGGCGAGCTGGGCAGTGGAAAGCAAGGGCAAGGCCGTCCGCAGGCACACGCCAATCCCGACTAAGAAGGTCCTCCAACTCCACACTGACCTGAGTAAGGCGGAGAGCGCTCTACTAGTACAGATGAGAACTGAGAAGATCGGCCTCAAGGACTTCCTCTTCAATCGCCGCGCTCCAGGATTCCATAACGCGAGGTGTCACTACGGTGAACAGCGACAAACACTAGCTCATGTCCTGCTGAGCTGCTGCCATTACAAGGACCTCCGGAGACAGGAACTAGGCCGCCTCCTAGGACGGAATAACCTCAGAGCCATTCTGAGTTCGCGCAAGCTAGCCATCAAGGCCATCAGATTTATAGAACAAACGCAGGTCTCAGTGGGCGATGAGACCAATAACACATAGACGATATCGTGTATTAGGGGGAGACTGTAGGTATGCAGACCGTGATATAGGAGGCACTGTCTCCAGGAGCCTAAATACTATAGTAACATTATGATTGTCGATAGAGCCAACCAGCAACTGTAGACAATTGTTAATAGGTAAAGGGGTGGATAGAAGGGACAGCTGGTTTTGTTTATATTAAGCGAAGCGAAGTGGGACGTGCTAGATTATGTAATATAGTCTGTCGCGTGTCGGCTGTCTGGCGAAGTCCACCTGACCGGTCATAGCTGCTGACTAAGAGCGGCCACATCCGAGTAGGAATTCAAGTTAAGTCAAGTCAAGTAGTAGCAAACCCTAAAGTGGCATCGTGGAGCTCCATGCCGATTGTTTGCATTAAATTGAAATGAGGGCAAGATGTCTTTTCGTCCGTTTTATCTGCATTATGACGCTGTTTCTTGAAATGTTCATCACTGGCCTTGCTTTTCCATCCCTGTTCAGGTCAGCACAATCAGTTACGGCCTAAACGGATCGCTTACCTTTCGCCGCAACTTAGCCAGTCTGCAGAACTCAGGGAATTGCCCAAAATGTCCTAGCAAAGAAATCTTCTGTGGTTTTTGATACCGAAAGTGTCATGACAGCCATGCAGTCTTCTGGGAGTTACAATGCCCCTGCTATACTAGGCCCTCATCGATGATCTTGTTGGCGTCCTCTGGCCTTGTAAACTCTATAATAATCGACGACATTGTCTTATCTGGAGTCTTACAGGTGAGCCACCCAACGTACTTGATCTCTGCCTCTAGTGTAAAGGGCCTATGATCCTGAAGAATTGCACCCTTTATTTCATCTGGCTTTTCCATGTTCATCATGCTAACGTGTATGCTGTGTACTAAGATCCTATAGGTCGGGTTCCGTACCGAGGCCCCGCTGCCAACGCGCGGGACCCAGTCCTCTGTGAACTTCCTAAGGAGCTGTGTCTCGTGGCCTGTCGTTGTCTGAATACTGAGGTCCCTACTCTTTAATTGGTTGGCCGATATTATAGTGATACTAGTGATCCTTATTCTCGCTCTGGGCGATTTCGTGGTTAATATATGCTTTCAAGGTTCGCGGGTTTATCGCTCGTAGGCGCTCGATATTGTGGCTGGTCTCTGATATTTACTATGATTTCCTGCTGCGTTGGTGCTATAGGGGATGCCTACTGTTCCTGCGTCTGAGTGCTATGGATGCTAAAGACTAGTCCTCCCTTGGCCGCCGCTGCTGCATAGCTCATAGGTACTCAATGTAGTTGAATATAAGATCAACTTGACGCTTTTTTCCAGTACTTAACAACTCACCCCATCGCTGAAGTTGCTGCTCAACCACCACCCATTCAATGTCCAGATCTTCAGACCATTTTATCAAATCTCGCTCTCCATGATCATTAACTGACACAACAACATTTATATCATCTGGCCAAAAGTTTCGGTTGGAAGGCAATTTCTTCCGCACGACCTTCTCTACCTTTAAAGAGAGTGGCGCCAGAGTGCACTTGGCGTAAAGACAAGGTTCTGTTCCATATCCCTTGTTAGAAACCTACCATTAACCGAGATTTTCCACTCGATAGTGTAGTAGATGCAGCTTAGGGGATTCTTGTTGTATAGATTTGCTTCATCCTATTCACTTAACTATAATAGCCATAGTCTACTCTGATCTCTTAGCTGAACAGAGAGCCACGGTGAACTCTCGAGCATAGAACTTGGGCTCCCTACTTCCTGGATAGCTGGACTAGGGGACGTTTGTGGATAACAGGATTCAAAAGCCCAATGTGGAAGCGGCGAGAGATAGTCATTCAGATCTAAAATTGGTACAGTATGAGAGAGGTTATGCTCTGCTATAGTTGTATCAGCCGTCATTATCAGTGCCACTAGAACGCGACATAGACGATCGTCGCCCTGACTGCACCCAAAGTCCTGGGGAGCACATGATGGACGTCATTGCGATCTATCCTATTGCTTTCCATTCCATTCAGGTGGAAATATTGTCACAGTTCCTACAGCAAACTTCATCCACTTACCCGACACCTGATATAGGCAATAAGGCATGATTAAAGGGGAGTGGTTGTGAGCAAGGTGCGGGTGGGACCTGATGGAAGCTAGTACTCCATTAGGATTAAAACTTGGCCTAATTAAGCGGTCATCATCCTTACGTGATCCAGGAGAAGTCATCCCTGCGAAGTCTGCATGTGACGGAAGTAAGGGAAGATCATCCTATGACTGATCATTTTTCAGAGAGCATATCGTGCCTTGACATTCCTGGCGCATTGCTAGTTGTGCTATTCTCAGAACAGGGCTGAGGCGGCCGACTTTGGGTTGATCCATTTGCTCCGCAGTTTCATCTTGTGAAATGCTGTATTGAACTCGCACACAGCCAAGGATTCACACTAGTGAGGTCCAAGCAATACCGCCAAGGATAAGCGAGTGGGCCGGACAAGCGAGTGGGCCGTCCTCACCACCACAACGCGATATTTTCGCATATATCTTTATAATATTATATTATATTGGCTATTAAATAGTATATACAGAATCTTAATAAGCTATCTAATGCTGAGAACATTGATTGATTCGATGCCCTAGCTCATGACAACCACTACAGCGGTAAATACGTGGTGTACTACCACTACCTTGCGGCTGTACTTGCTGAATTTCAAGCTGAATCTGGCTATTAATCTGATCTTGCATAACCATATTACTGCCAGCACTATAGGATAATACACCTTGCCTCTGAATTTTTTTCTTTTGACGTCGCTTACGACTAGAAAGGGCTTGATTAGCTGCCTCAAGGTCAGCAACCTGAGCCTTTACTAAAGTCGCGTAGTTAGCTACTGATTGAGCACCTTTGGCAAGGCGATCAAGTGACTCAATGATAGAGGTTGGTGAGCTATTTTGATGATGCTGAATCCGGCTTTAGATAAGCTCTGTTTGAAGGCCTAATTCAATAGCATTTCTTAGGGTCTTTAATTGCTATTCGATCTGCTCCATTAATGGTGGTATAGGTATTCTAAGATGAATATCCAGCTTTGATAATATAGTATCTGGATTCAATGGTAGTAAGCCAGTACCCTTGAATCCAGCTCGTATATTATCTGGTTGTAGTGCCTGGATAAAAGCTTGCTTGAAGGCAGGAAGGAATTCGAGCTTTGTCATGTGATGGATGAAAGCTCGCACCATCTGCTGAATCTGATTGCTACATGCCTGTTTTAATGGACTAAAGCAGCCTACATCAAGTGGCTGAAGTAGATGTGATGAGTGTGGAGGCATATAAAGGGTGATAATCCTTTGCTCTTTACAAAAGAGCTTGAATTCAAGTGATTCATGACTCTCATGCCCATTAAGGATAAGTAGTCTATACGTGCCTTGTATGCGATCCTTTGTATGCTGATTAAAATGCTTTAGCCATTCTAATCCAAGCATATTAGTAGTCTATCCATTCTCACTAACAGCAATCATCTAATCAGGTGGAAGATCCTCCTCATACCATGCTGAAAGATGGTTGGTACCAGCAAAGATGATGAATGGTGGTAATGCCCAATCTTGAGCATTTACACCTTAAATGACAGTGACCCATTCACGATCTCCAGGCTGTATAGTCTTTGGGCTATGGCGTCGTTCAGATCCAGTAAGTCCTTTAGCTGTTGCAATCACTCCTATTTGAAATCCAGTTTTATCAAAATTGTAGATATCGCTATTGCTGATGCCGTACTTGCTAATTGTATTATGCACAAGCTCGAACCAAGGGCTGATGATCCGCGGATCCTTACATAAAGCTCTCTTGTAATCGTACTTTTGACAGAAGCGCATCTTGAGTTCTGAGGTCCTTTGCACAAAGTTATGTGGCTATTTAACACCAACTTGCCCATCATCACCACGCGAAGCAAGTAAATGATTAGCCATTGCTGCTACCTCTTGAAGCTTAGGCTGAAATCCACGTGAATCTAGATCAAGTATATGCTGTATAAGCACCTTCTCTTCATTCTTGGTAAGCTTCATTGAATTCGGTCGGCAATCACGTCGTGAACGCGTTCCAGCTACGCGTTGTTGTAGGGTTGCTTTAGGCACATTAAAGACTTTCGCTGCATGATATATTGATTTAATTTGGCCTCTTTTGATAGCTGATATTGCTAATAATATTTGACCTTTATTAGATAATGGCTGCTTTTGAATTGAGCGCTGCATTGTAGATAAGATGAGATATACGCGTTGTGGTAGTGAGGACGGCCCACTCGCTTGTCCGGCCCACTCGCTTACGGTATCCTTGGCGGTACTGTAAGCCCTACACATCCGGTTTTCTTAAGGTGTTCGTGTGAGAATGAGCTCGAAAATTGCGACATAATCGCACGAGAATGTATCAACCATATTACGGCAAAGGAATGGCAATTATATTATCGTAGATTAATTGATGCTTAAGAGATACCACATTTTAAAATTGAATTAATGTCGCCCATCCTGCTCGTTCGACTGGGGACTGCAAGGTATTTCAGGCGCAAAACAGGGAAAGAAAAACAACGAGAGTCTTTAGACTACAGTTTACCACACACTCAAGCTACAGGATAATGAACTAGTGTGCCTCTCTAGCGACTTTTGGTCAAAAATTTGTCTCCCATAGAAGCCGACAGACTGCTTATAAACCAGCCTAGGATTTGTATCTATCCCGGAGACAAATGGGGGGCTCAATTCACATGAAACCCTGAATGGCAATGCAACATACCGTCTGATTGTGTCAGTGTAGAGCTAACAGCATTAATGCAGGCTCTGAACGCAATTATCATGTTGGGGATGATATCCTTACTGGGCAAGACTGTACAAATGACCGAGGCACGTCCTCATTTCAGTGTTCGACAAATATTTTCGAATTGATCATTTATGTTCAAATTAGCTCTCTGAACACCTAGAAATCTTAAATCGACAAATTACCCTCCTCTACGATGCCCACAGAGTTACTAGCGACAAGCTCGTACACGCCTTGATGAGGCTTGCGATTGCGACCCATCTCGGCTGCCAGATCTTCGGGTTGTTGGTAACAGCTCACAACTATATGCACTTTGGATGACGTTCTCTTCCGAATCTCCAAGATCCGTGCAACCCAAGAACGATTCAGCCCCAGTACTATACGACGATTCTGTTCCAACAGCCGCGACGTTGCACTGTGGACAAAATCTTGCAATGGAGGACATGGTCTACGCTAAATTCTCTGTATATTTTCTAAATCTAAATAACATTCATTGTTTTTATTTGATTTGATTTGATTTGTCATTTACCCTGACCCATCCTAGTTAGGATATGCAGGCTATATACAAGTCATGTGATCTATTTACATTTCTCTTTATGGTTCTATTTCCTGAAGTTTTGTTCCTGCTTAGAGTTGTCTCTCTGTAGTGACCTCTTCTCTTACCCTATTTATAGCGTTAAGGTAACCTAGTTTTATTATAAAAGGTCTTTATTATAAAACCTGCGTAATCAACACCAGTCCGAAAATCATCCTAAAACTAATCTCGTTAGATCAACATATAGTACCTCGTTTACACTGAAGGAAGACAAATCTTAAAAGGGGGACAAATCCGAAAAGGGGGGACAAATCCCTCGAGCCCCGAAGCTTCTGCTTCATTCTGTCAGTCAAGTCTGTGGTCTTAACCCATCGAAGGATTCCTGAATAATGTTCGAGCATGTAACGGAAATCACAGGCATTAGGACCAAGCTTCTCTGCTATCGAGGTCAGGAACACTTTTGGTGGGTAAGGAAATTGCTTTATTAATGCCACGAAGGAATATTGGAAAGAAAAACATTACGATATGCTCTGGCTCATTGAAGGGCAGCGTCGAAATGGAACAAAATTGAAAAGCCATACCTCTTCCTATAAGCCTGCGTAGATTTGGCCCGCAGCATTCAGTGAATTTCCGCTGAGGAGCATGCCATCCTCAGCCATAAAATACGCATATCTCTCAACATAGCTCTGAGAATCAAGCCAAGGCAGGACAACTTCGAGAAATGATGTGTCATTACCATCTGTGGTCCCAAATTCCGTAAGCCAGATGGGCAACTTAAATTGATCATAAGCTTGTCGGATGTACGACTGAAAATATTGGATATTCGTAGATGTGTCATACCAGTGAATAGCCTATGTCTATTAGAATGAACGAGTCATTATAATGAGGTTCGACTTACTATTGCTCCAATTTGACAGTCGCTACACGAGTCCATGAAGTTTTGTAGATAGGCGAGACCCATAGGGGCTGCGCCATTAGTAACTGATGGGGAAACGAGCTTAATCTTCCCAGCAAAGTTCGAGGTGATATACTGCTTATAATCCATGGCAGCGGTATTGAAATCAATGTTCGCTTGCTGGGGATGATCCGGCTCGTTAAACCCGAGCACAGCGCTTGTACCACAACTGATAGCCTTGTTTGCATCTTGAGTCCACGAATCGGTATAAATTGGCCCGTTTCCCCATAAGAGAGGAATATATTCAATGCCGCTTGGAATATTTTCAGGACTTGAACCCCAGTTGTAAGCCCAGCCAATCTTAGACTTGCCAACGAAAGGAATGACAAGACTGCCGACATTGTAGGCAACGCCAGCTTTTTTACCTGAGACAGAGGCTATAGGAGTTAAGGAAGCTAGACATCCAGTAGTGGAAGTGGACATTGGGCTTATATAGCTAGCCGGTAACGCTGTAGAAGCGGTATTAGTTTGCCCAGGAAAGTAAGCTGCAATGCTAGCACCTTGTTCATTCAAAAATGTTGAAAACGTAGCTGTTGCAACTAGCGACAAATCTGTTTCGGAGTTCATGTTGGGACCACATACAGTGACATGAGGCAGTGTTGAGTTTATGCAAGAGGACGAAGCGGAACCAGAGGCTAAAGAACTTTGGAACGATGCAACAGGAAGAAACGATCTAGCATGATGCGTATCAACGGTCTGAATCGGCCTTTCAATAGCTTTGACCTCTATTTGTGACTGTTTGGGAACACCATAACGATTGTCAGTATTTGCTGTGCGCTGGATCAATTTCGAGGACAGATCACTATTCACTTGCTGTTGAAGCGCTGGAATAGCTGAAGAGGTTGAAATGAAAGAATTCAACCATATCCATAGTAACTCGCCGATCATTGTTCGCATATATCTAGAAAAGATGTGGACTTGAAGTTCTGTCACTCCAGTCATAAAGAGATGTAGTAGACAGTGTAAAGATCTGAGATAGTCCTGCGCAAGGTATATTTAAAACATGGCTAACAGAACTAACTATAGAGGCTGGACTGGAGTATTTGCTGCTCCTAAATATAGTAGTGTTAGGAATACTTTCCCGATACCGACAAGCTCGACTAACGTAAGCCACTTCGGAAAGGACGTGCTTCCTTGAGCTGAGGACTTGGGACTTAACTAGAAAGAGGAGACTAGGTAAGGCAAATGTGGGTTAATGGCTTAAAGGTAAGTTAGAGATAGTATTCAAATAACAAACTAGGTAGACTAGACAATTGAACTACGGGTAGATAAAAGCAAAGGGGAGTCCATCCTTTTATAGACCATCTTTCCTTGGTCCTTAGGAGCCTGGTCGTGAGAGTCTCATTTTGAGACTTATGCACGGGTCTAAAAATGCCAAGACATGATACTCCCACGTCATGCTAGTTCTACCGTACCTAACTTAGCAGTACTAGGAGGTACGCGGTAACAAGGAGAAATTTCGGCAAAACACAATTAAATCAGATAATATATATAATGCATAATTAGTTATAACGCTAGAGTCTAATTTAAACATGCATGAAGTATAGCCTTACAACCAGGAAAGAACGATGACGTGTAAGATGACACCATGTTATGATTTGATTTGATTTTTCATTTACCCTGACCCATCCTAGTTAGGATGGCGGATGAGATTTGTCCCCCCGATTCTGGGATTTGTCCCCCCCCGCTAGCTGTAATGTAATTTAAATCGCTATAAACAGCTTAGTACAGTGCTACCTATTTTATTAATTATTTAAGAGATAATAAACTTATATAGTTAATGAAGGTGTCTATATACATCTATCTACAGTGTTATCTTTTATTTGGGCTAAGCGATGACCACATGTCTGATGCTTTATGTGCTGCAGCGCGCTTAGACCGCAATACTGGTGTACTTTATACTATAGGCGATGATCTTTAAGCCTGAACTTGTGCAAATCTTTCAGTGTAGAAGGCATCTTTGTCTCCAAAATGAAAGTTCCACGCTATAGTTGAGGTGCAATCAGCATAGATTCCATAGGTACTTAGTACTATATGCCGTGCCTCAACTAACTTAGGTGGAGCGTCTTCTTGTCTGGTCTTATATAAATTACTAAAGACTGTGGACATACTGTATAAGCTATCTAGAACTGGTTGATGTCAACGCCGTTCAATATTTGCTAAGAACTCCTCTAAAGATAGAGGCTGCTATAAAGATTGTTGTTGTGGTAGTTATAGTAGTTATGGCGGTTGTGGTGGTGGTGATGATAGGGCTTTAGTAATAGATACTGTGACAGAAATTAGTGAAGAATGAATAAAAGCAGTTAGTGAGGAGAGCGGAGTTGACACTGGCCCAGCTGTTACTGGGATTGATATAGACACAGATGTTATTATAGGACTTTTCATAGATAGCATGTGTGGAGCTATAGATATAGCAACCTATATACTAGTTGATAAGGCTTCGGCTGGTGTCTATCCTTCTTTCCAGTTTATAGGGTTAGATTATAGTATAGAATACTTAAATGCTGACGGATCTCAGCGAGTTGATGATTGGATCTTCTTCTGCGCTCCTCTTGTATTAGCTAGAAGTGGCTTAAGGATAAACTGGTGTGGTCTTGGCAAAGGTATTTGAATAGACTCTCTGTGTGTATGCTGATAATACTAGTGATTGTTATATGTATAGCGCAGAGGTAAAGGCCTATAACTTATTGCTATTTGCAGTCTATGGCAACATAGAAGGCTATTTATCCTCTTAAAAAGACCTGAACAAGGCTTTTTACTGCTTGGCTGTTTCTCTTCCTTTTGACGCATAAGTTCCTGTTGTCTGATACGTTCGACTGCAGGCGGTTTGATTTGATTTGATTTGATTTGATTTTTCATTTACCCTGACCCATCCTAGTTAGGATATGCAGGCTACATACGAGTCATGTGATCTATTTACATTCCTCTCCACGGTTCTATTTCCTGAAGTTTTGTTCCTGCTTACAGTTGTCTCTTTGTAGTAACCTCATCTCTCACCCTATTTATAGTGTAAATATAACCTAGCTTTATTATCAAAGGTCTCTATTGCGGAACCTTCCAGACTTTTCAGCAAATTCAAGTATAGCATGTAGCTCTCCATCTGCTATATCTTCTAAAATCAAAGACGATAGGCTATTAAGATAGGGTCCTATCTGCCTCCGCAGTCGTTGTCGTAGTCCTTATAGAATAGGACAGTCAAGAAACACATGTGCCAGTGTCTCTCTCGCTCCACATTCGCAGTTATCATCCTAGGTTTTGCCAAACCTCTTCCTATAGCTCTTTAGCCATGAGTGGCCTGTACGTAGTTGAGCTAGTAGGTTTGCTTAAGGGCGCGTTTTTGTGTCATAGAGCTTGCGCACATGTTTCCCTGGTAAGGAAGGGTCAATTTTGCGGAGATGTTCGCCCTTTGGCGAGCCTTTCCATTCTTCTCTCCATTGCCGTTGTATCAGATCCTTGACCAGCTTCTTCTGTGCGGAGAGGAGCGGGGCGAAGTGGTGTTCTAGTGGCCTTTCCATAGCTTCCTTGGCTTCCTGGTCCGCGAGCTCATTTCCCTAGATACCCTCATGCCCTGGGATCCAGGCAAGGTGTATGTCGATGCCGCATCCCTTGCTAAGGCATTCGGCTTCTATATTAATCCTTTAAGTGATATGCTGCGCCGTCCGCGCCTATAGGTTAGCTATTACTTGTAGTGCCGCCTTAGAGTCACTTAGGATAGTATAATGGTTTCGTGTTGGCTTCTGTATGGCTGAATTCCAACTGTAGTCCCTGCAGATCATATATAGTGCGAAGAATATTGCAATTAGTTCAGTAGCAAAAATATTCTATCCGCTTTTCGAGCCTACGCCGACGCAAACCTTATGCTTGATATTTTGCTTAGGTCCTAGTGTAATTGCTGCTGCGCTGAGTTCCCTATCTTTTCCTGAGCCATCTGTGAAAATTACTGAATCAGGATTAGCTAAGACCAGTGACATGGTCATTATTTTAGCTTCTTCTCTGCTGTGTGTTGTTTTTATTGTTGCGAATAGTGTTCATCGCTATAGAGGGGGTGGTGCTGGGTTGATAATTTTAAGTTTCTGAAACAGCCTGTTCTCTGTCGCTGTTGCTATTGTAAGTATAAGTAGGCTTTATATTATACTGTGGGTTGGGGCTGGTGCGGTCGGATGGACAAGCGGTCAGATTAGGTGGTTAGTGGGTAGTGTCTTAAGTTTGCCTAGGACATTTAATGCCCTTTGTTTAAGTCTAAGGTGTGTTAGGAGAAGGTTTGATTCGATCTCGAGCGTGTCAGTGGAAACTATGCGGAACGCTGAGATGGATTTGATTGCCGCTATGCGTTGGATCTTCCAGAGCACTGTCGTCTGCTATACTCTTCCTTGTCTATACTACACTGTTAAGGCGTAGTCGAGTTTAGGTAACACGCATGCCTGGTATAGCTGCCGCATTTGTTTTGGTCTTAGGTGACGAAGTCGGCTTATGCCTATACACGTGTTGGTTGCTCGCTTGGATACCCTTTGTGTGTGGGCTCGCCATCTGAGCTCTGAGTCGAAGATTACTCCTAGGAGCTTCATATTGCTAGAGGGGGAGATCTCCTGGCTATTCATGATGATCGAGCTAGTTGTTTGCTTGTTTCAGGAACGAGTGAAGTGTATCAACTCCGTTTTCCCAACTTCAAAGGTTGACCCAGTCTGATTGGCCTATTTATTGATCTTAGGAATATCTTCTACTTGGAGCTTTCGGGTATTTTCTTCAGCGCTAGGTCCGCAGTGCCAGCGGAAGTAATCGTCAATGAATGCTGATGCACCACCTGTATCATCTATAGTTTGGTCTACTAGCTTCTGGTTGTAGATTGTGTATAGAATGGGTGAGACCGGGGACCCCTGTGGTAATCCCAGGTAGGCCAGTAAGTTCTTGTCTGAGCAGTAGCCGTCAAATCTGAAGCTTGCCCATCTGTCTTTCATGAAGCTGTCTATCCACTGTCATGCTACTGCTGGTATCCCTATTTTGCAGAGTATTTGGTTCATGACTAGGCGATTGACGCCGTTAAAGGCGCCTTTAACGTCAAGGGCTAACAGTGTCACTACCTTGCTCTATCTCCATGCTTTCCATATTACGTCAACTGGGATCAGGAGTGCTTGTTCAGTGGATCGCCCAGGCCTGCCTCTAAACTGCGTACTTGGGAGAAGGTTGTGGCACTCTACATAGTATAACATTCTTCTCGCAACTATTGCTTCTAGGAGTTTGCCTAAAGTATTGAGTAGAGAGATGGGCCTGTACGCGCTAGGTTGCGTATAGTCTGGCTTCCCTGACTTGCGCTGGACTGTAATGGTTGCTGTTCTCCATAACCTTAGGTAGTGTCCTAGGCGAAGTGCTGCTTCAAATAGGGTAGTGATAACAGGTGATATATGTTTCCAGGTTTTCTTCCACACAACATATGGTAGCCCGTCATCTCCTGGGGCAGACAAATCCTTTGTTGTGACCAACGCGGCATGGATCTCGCCCTCGGTGATTGGTTCCCAGGGAAGTTCAGCCTCCGCTATGTATTCATTATTAAGGGACATTGCTGGTGTAGG